GGAGAGCTCGGCTTCGCCATCGGGGGCCTCTCGCCGGTCTCTCGGCGATGCATCGCCGATCCGAGCTGAATGTCCCCCCCCCCTTGGCACACGTTGAGCTTTGGAGCGGTACAGTCAAGACGCTGAAAAAAGGAACAGTTTGGGTTCGGAAGGGGCTCGATGTTCCTTAGGTTCCTCCAGTGCTGTTCCTCTTGCCCTCCTGGGGCACGGAGGCGCTTACGGGGCCAAGGAGGGGCTTCGTTCCTTATTTAGCATTCCTTCTTTCAGCGGCCCGACTGCATCGCCGATCCCAGCTGAATGCCCCCCCCCTTGGCACACGTTGAGCTTTGAAGCGGTGCCCCCGCTCCCCCCTCACCCCACGGCGGGCGGTCCCAGGCTCGCTCCGCTCGCCCTCCTGCTCGGAGACGTGCGCGCCTCCCGTCGTGCACGGTGCTGCGGCAACTGCGGCGCAAGAGCTGGCAGAGAAAGCAGGGTGACCAGCGCGGTCCAGGAGGCCGAAACCGGGACCCGTTGGGGATCGGGACGGGCATTCGTCTTCGGGCCGCTCATTTATCTGACCTCCAGCGGGGGGCTTCGTTGTGGCCGAGGCGCACCGTGGACAAAAGCAACCTGTGTTCCTTCTTCATCGTTTCTCCTGGTAGCACGGTGATTGCATCACTATCGGCGGGGCACAGTGGGAGCCACGGGTGGTACGTGATACGCCCGAGGCCTTCGATTGCGGCGAGTGTTGCCCACTTCCAGAAAGTACACGAAGCCTCAAACGAGAGCCCCATATGTGGAAGTTCGATTTATAGAATTGAAACAGTCTCAAGCGGGAGCCACATGTTGAAAAACGAGCCGGCAGATATATTTGCAGCTGCGTGTTCGGCGCTGAACGAGAGCCGCAGATTGAAAACGATCGGCCCTCCATATGCGCGGCGCTCAGGCGAGAGTTGCCTTTTGAATACCATTGGCCCTCCACCCTCGGAACGGTTGGAGCTTTTTCAGCTTCAGGGGAGTGATGTGTATGGAAACCATGCGAAACGCCTGGCCCAGCCTACGGACGCGTGCGGTGATGTGACAGGGGGGCGTTTGTTACACAATGAAGAGGGATGTCTAAAACAGCGAGGGCAGTGAGAGGAGGAGAAGTAGACTGGGAGATAGAGAAGGAGGAGGAGGAGGAGGAGGAGGAGAAATAAGAAGAGGGAGGAATTGAGGGAGGAGAGGACGGAAGAAGAAGGAAGAATGAGAAGGACAAGAGTAATGACAATCAACATAGGATGTGGGGGAAGATAGGCCAGCCACAGGCGTGTCCCGCAGATGCGAATATTCTCGAATCAGTTTGCTGTCGCGAGGTGTTCGGTGCTTGCTTCTGTGAGCCAGATTCTTGCGACGCCCTCCTGCTTTCGGAAAGTCACCAGCCACACATGTCTTTTCACCGAGCGCGTTCCACTACTCGCAAAGTGCCTACTCGCAAGCGTCCGAAAAACACGTGTCCGCTTTGATGTAATGTATCGTAGATCCTCCGCGAAGGGTCCAGGCCATTTGCGAGTAATTACTTTGCGAGTAGTGGAGCGCGCTCGTCTATCTTTGGTTTAGGGTCATGTTTTAATGACGAGCTGTCGTCAAAATCATCGCAGTTGCGCGTACCAGGGCACTGGATACGAATGACGCGGCCTCCCTGGGCTAGAGCTAGACGCACATGGGGCTGCATGTCTTTGCAGCGTTCGCCCCCCGTGTGGCCAGGCAGGCTAGCCCTCGGCATGTGCATCCAACAAGCAAGAGGTAGGAGGGAAAAAACCACACAGACACAATTAATCGTCGACTCCCAAGAAAATATTAGAAAATATGGGCAGTGGGGGGGGAACACAGAAACCCAGAAAATATTGGAAAATCTGGGGAGTCCTGTTATTTGTGTCTATTTATTGGTGTGTCCTAAGGCCCCTTCAAATCTACGATCAGGAACTTGGGCCTGAGGTGTCGCGGCGCCGGTTCTGGCCCACCACGCTTCGGCGCGACACGCACGCTATCCTCGTCCTGGCCCCCCGCCCCGCAGAGCGGAGCGGCACGCTGTCCGCTCGCAAGGCACAGCGTGTCGCCGGGGCCGCCGCCGCGGCACGCCGTGCAGAACTCCGGACCGTATCCTGCACGTGAATCCGGCCGTTTGCGTTGCCAGCTTCTCGGGGCCACTGCCCGGCCGAGCCCAGGAGGCCTCACGGCGATCATCGGAGACTTGGCGAGCATGTTCGGCTGCGCGCTGCACTGGGACGACTCCATCACGGCAGCCGCCTCGGCCCTCGCCGACGTGGGCGCGCAGCAGCTGTGGGATAGCGCCGTGAGGGTAGATTGGTTGCGCGCTTCGTGGAGCAGTGACGCTTCAACCCAGACATGCCACGGCATGGCTTTTGCAATACGCGGGCCCAACTCAGGAGGGAAAGAAACACACAGACGCAATTAATCGTCGACTCCCAAGAAAATATGGGAAGTGGAGGGGACGACGAAAACCCAGAAAATGATGGAAAATATGGGGAGTCCTGTTATTTGTGTTTGTTTATTCGTGTGTCCCTGGGCCCCTTCACCAAAGGTCGCGGCCTCCCAGGGCTGGGCCCCCGGGACGCCGAGATCGAGGAAAGACATCCGTCGGAGATCGAAGGGGAGGAGGCGACACAAGAAGATCGTCCGGAAGAGCGAGGCGACGAGGGGAGGGCGGGTGAAAGCAACGGCCGGCGGCGAAGGAGACTGCGAAGAGGCGGAGGCAGCAGAGGTGCGAGGAGGAGGGCCTGGGCCGTCTCGGGGGCCTCCTCTGGCCTTTCGGGGCCGCCTCGGTTCTCTGAATCAAGCCTGCTCTGGACTCCATGGGCTGTCTCGGGAGGACGGGCGTGGAAGGTCGGAAACTCTGCTCACCAGCTCTGGCCCAGGTTCTCAGGCCACGAAACAGCACTTGCTTGCGCGCGATCTTGGCCGTCACCTCTGGGCCGCCAGGCCGCCTCCAGCCTCGCCTGAAACTCAGTGGGCGGCATGCATGCCAGGGTCCATCTCGATGCCGATTTCGACCCGCTCGATCCGATCCATTCCCGGTGTTCCGTCGGCCCGATGCGGCCCGACGATTGCACAGGGCGTTGCTGCACATCCTGGCGCAGCCGATCGGATTCGATGTGGATTCCGTGCTCCTGCGGTCCGATCTGGCACCCTCCGATCCGATGGCCAAGGCCCTGCGGCAGGTGCCGCCGACCCCCGAAGGCGGGACCTCCCCCGGGGCCCCTGCTGGCGATCCCCCTTGGGATCCGCCTGGACCGGGACACCGGGGGGGGGGGGGGGCTTCTGACCCAGCCCCCACCCCCCCGCTTCCCCCCCAGACCCAGCCCCCCCCGGCAGGGAAGGGACAAAGGAACGGGGCCACCTTTCGGCTCAACTGCGACGTTTCTTGGCCTGGTTCCTCAATTTCCTTGGGACTGGCGGCGGCGACGACGACGACCCCAGCGGATTCACCGACTTCTGCTGATTGGTCCTGCTACCCTTCCGTCCTGGCCTTGCGCCGTGCACTGCGACAGCCGCGTGCGGTATGTTCGTGCTGCCCCGCGCGGCGGCAACGTGGGCGCGTCCGCTCCACGCCGAAGACTCGCGGCGGCCTCCAGGGACCTCCGGCAGCGGACAGCGCGCGGGAGAGGCGGAAGAGAAGGGCGGAGGAGGTTGAAGGGGAGGGTGGGGGAGAGGAGAAGGCCAGGAAAAGGGAGGAGGGAGGGAAGGAGGAGGAGGAGGACCAGTGCAAGCCCAAGACTCATCAACAATGTTGCAATGAGCTCTCCCTCCGAGCTCCCTCTTCGTAGGCCCCAACAAGGGTTCATTTTCACTGCAGGATTTGTGCCGTTTGAAAACAATTTCTTGATAATACTGAGCTCTGCCAGAACACCTTTCCTGGGACTCCAACGCCGCGAACCACCGTGAATGCGGCATCTCGAAGATCCGGAATCGTGCCAGAACGCCATGCCTGGGACTTCAACACGACGAATCAACGTACCTGTTGCGCCCTGCCAATCCGACACTGTGCCAATCATGATTCCTGGGACGTCAGCCATGAGAATCCTCGAAACCGTTGTAAACTTTTCAAACGAATGCGCGCAGCGCTAAGGCGAGAGCCACCTTTCGAAAAATAGCCGCCATACATCTTTGAAACTCATGTCATTTGTTACGACAGATGTGCGCGGCGCTAAGGCGAAGACCACATATTGAAAAACGGCCAGTCCTCCATACGCGAGATTCCTAAAAATGTTTAAGACGAATGCGCGCGGCGCGAAGGCGAGAGCCACGTGTTGAAAAACAACCGCCCTCCATCCGTGAAGCGCATGGAATTTGGTCTGACGAATGCGCGCGGCGCTAAGGCGAGAACCCCAGTTTGAATACGGCCAGTCCTCCATCCGTGAGGCTCTTGCAGACTTTTGGGACGACTGCGCGCGGCGCCCCGGCGAGAACCACATGTTGAAAACGACCAGCCCTCAATCCGTGACATGCCTGGACATGTTTAAGACGTACGTGCGCGGCGCTACAGCGAGAGCCACATGGTAAAAACATGGCCCGCCTTCGCTCTGTGAGACCGTTGCAAGTTGGAAATCTTCTGGATCACAAGTGGCGAGGAAGTCTTCAGCGAAACGTCTGGCCCGCCCTTCCGGCTAGCCTCGGGGTGCGGCAGGGGAAGGTATTCAGAAGGAGAAGGAGTTGAGCAGGAGGGAGGGAGGGAGGATCAGGAGGATGAGGGAAGGGGCGGAGGAGTGAGGAGGAGGAGGGAGGCATGAGGATCGAAGAGGAGGAGCAGGAGGAGCAGGAGGGAGGAGGAGGAGGAGGAGGAGGAGGAGGAGGAGGAGGGTGGAGGTTGGAGGAGCAGGAGGAGGAGGGAGGAGGGAGGAGAGGGAGGGGGAAGAGGAGGAAGAGAAGGAGGACCAGTGTAAACCCAAGACTCGCATTAAACCCTTCCTCCTAGCTCCCTCGTCAAAGGGCCCTGCAGGGATTCATCTTTATTGAGGGAAGTGCCCAGTTGGAAGGCAACTGGTTGATCATCCTGAGCTGTGCGAGGACACCATTCCTGGCACCCCAACGCCACGAATCACCGTGAACGTTGCATCTTGTGGATCCTGAACCGTGCCAGAACACCATTCCTGGGACTCTAGCATCGCGGATCAACGTAACCGTTGCGCCTTGGCGTTCCGACATCGTACCAAAGCACCATTTCTGGGACGGTAACTAATGAAATTGCTGCGAACTCTTACAACGAATGTGCGCGGCGCCATGGCGGGAGCCACATTTGGAAAGCGGTCCGCCCTCCATCCATGAAATTGTTGCAAGCGTGGTGTAAACTTTTAAGACGAAACTGCGCGGCGCTGAGGCGAAAAGACGATTTTGAAAAGGGGCCGCTATGAATGCGCGCGGCGCTCAGGCGAGAGCCACATGCTGAAGGGGAGCCGCACTCCACGAGGGAAGCTCCTGCAACTTGCAGTGACGAGTGTGCGCGGCGCTGAGGCGAGAACCACAGTTTGAAAACGACCCGTCCTCCACCCGTGAGACTCCGGTCGTGTGTTAGGACGAAAGCGCGCGGCGCTAAAGCGCGAGCCACATGATGAAAGCAACATGCTCTCAATCCGTGATGCTCTTGCAGATGGTTAAGACGGATGCGCGCGGCAGCGGAGCGTCGCCGCCTTCGCGATGGACGACAAGGGCACACGCGTGGGTCAGACTGACCAGACAGGAGGAGGAGGAGGAGGAGGAGGAGGAGGAGGAGGAGGAGGAGGAGGAGGAGGAGGAAGAGGAGGAGGAGGAGGAGGAGGAGGAGGAGGAGGAGGAGGGTTCTCGCGCTGACCAGAGGCAAACTGACATTTCCTGTCGGGCACGAGCCGAGCCCGGCACCAGTCTAAGGGGGAAGGCTCCGGGGGTGCCGAAGACTCCTCGCGAACTCCTCGCGAAAACCTCGCGAGGAGTTCGCGAGGTTTTCGCGAACTCGAACTCGAACTCCTCGCGCATTCGTGAAACTGCTGCAAACTGAAAATATTCATGGTCATGAGTGGTGAGGAAGTCTCAGGCGGAACGCCGGGCCCTCCCTGTCGACGCCGCAGCACACTGCGCGGATTGAGACAGAACTGGTTTGTAAGGAAGAGGGACGGAAACGGAGGAGGGGGGGGAGGAGGAGGAGGAGGAGGAGGAGGAGGAGGAGGAGGAGGAGGAGGAGGAGGAGGAGGAGGAGGAGGAGGAGGAGGAGGAGGGAGGACTAAGGGAGGAGCAGGAGGAGGAGGAGGGAGGAGGGAGGAGGAGCAGGAGGAGGAGGAGGCGGCCCGTGCTTGCCGAGCCGAGGCAATCACCGTCGTAGCCATCGGCGCCGAGGGGAAGTACTGCCAAAGGGGGGCGGTCTCGGCCGCCGCGGCGTCCCCCCCGCAATCGGGCGGCCGATGGAAGCGGGAGCACCCGCGCCGCGCGGCGAGCCGCACCCCAAGCTCGACGCCTCTCACGAGGGGTATGGAGGAGGAGGAGGAGGACCATCGCACGGCTTCGGAAGGGGTTCGACTTCGCTTACTGCGACTCGAGCGCCTGGGCTGCCAGAGCGGCAACCGCATCAATTGAAATCGGAGGCTTGAAGACAATGGGACTCGTCTTAGAGGCCCGTGGATGTCTCCCCTCCTGGAGGCGCGCATGGGCGCCTTCTGAAAAGTGTGAATTGAATTTCTTGAGACAACTCTTCTGGAGGCTCTTCACAGTACACTCTGAATAACTGCCGCACAGGTGACATGTAACAATAAAACTTTCATCAACACTGCTATCGTAAACAAATAACTTGTGCCCATTGGGCTGCATGCCTAGCTTAGCTAGTCTAGCAGCATTTCCTGGGCACCTTTCCTTTTCACGTGAAACCTTTACTTTGTCGGAGCGGCATCGCGAGTGGCAAACGCAGCAGAGCCAACGATTCTTCTGCCACGTCCAGACGTGCCCCACGCGAGCACGGGCGGCCCTGAGGGGACGGGGAGGGGGAGGAGCCGCCGCAGCTCCAGAGCCCGAGGAGCCCCCAGGGTTAACTCCGCCTTGCCACACTGCCGCGATTGAGCCAGCTCCGACAGCAGGATTGGCGGCCTTCACTGGAGGTGGAGGTGGAGGAGGAGGAGGAGGAGGAGGAGGAGGAGGAGGAGGCGGAACAGGAGGAGGAGGAGGAGGAGGAGGAGGAGGAGGAGGAGGAGGAGCCGTGGGAGGAAGAGGAGGTGGAGGTGGAGGAGGAGGAGGAGGAGGAGGAGGAGGAGGAGCCGTGGGAGGAAGAGGGGAAGGATGAGGATGTGGAGGAGGAGGAGGAGGAGGAGGAGAAGGAGGAGGGGAAGGGCAGAGAGGGAGGAACAGCGGGGCAGTGGGGCGGAGGGTGGAAGAGGGGGAGTGAGGGAGGGGGGAGGCGGGGCGGGAAGGAGGAGGGAGGGAGGGAGCGGGAGGGAGGGAGGGAGCGGAGGAGGGGGGCAAGCTAGATGCGCTTGCGCCATATCTGACATCCTTGCCCTCCCACCCATCCCTTCCCACGGCGATGATTTCTTCTCTATCAGCCCATGGGTGTCATCGCGGCCTTTCAGCTCCCACAGGACCCATACGTATCGTGCGATGCGCAAGATGAAAATCGGAGTTGTGTTCATTAGAGGAGAAAGCGGCGGACGAGCAGAAGGATGAGCAAGAGAAGCAGGTTGAGAAGAAGGAGGAGGTGGAGGAGGAGGAGGAGGAGGAGGAGGAGCAGGAGAACGACCAGGAACTGCCGCAGCTTGCGCAGAAAGCGCGGAGCAGCTGGAGGGCCACTGGAAAGCGGGGGAAGGGAAAGGAAGTGGGCGTCCACGACGAGGAAGCCGTCGGATCTAGAAGTGTGGCCCTCGCGGGCATCAACGCTACACTGCAAGCCTCCTCCTCGCCTCCTCCTCCTCCTCCTCCTCCTCCTCCTCCTCCTCCTCCGCCTCCTCCTCCTCCGCTTCCCTCTCCTCCTTCGGATCTTTCGGATGTCGACTCTGCATCCTCTGGAAAGGATGTAGCCGTCGAGGGGGGGGCACCTCCTCCCCCCCTCTCAGAAGAGGTACTCCCTGTGGGAGCCGAACCCGATGATCTTGCCCCCCTCAGTGGCCGCCAGCCTCCTCCACCTAAGGAGGGCGGCACGCTCGCCACACGATGGGGGCGACAGCGATGGTGAATTCGCCGTTCAGGTGGGCGCCCTCCAGGATGAGGAAGTGGTTGTGCTGGGAGGCGCCGTGGGCGCCAGTGCGGTTGAAGAAGCCCTGCTGGTGCCCGATGCTCTGTTGGTGCCCGTTGGTGTGCTGCTGGTTCCCGTAGGTGTGCTGCTGGTTCCCGTTGGCGTGCTGCTGGTTCCCGTCGGAGCGGGGCGGAGGCTTGGCCGCCAGGTGGGCCGTCCTCCTTCTGGTCTGGGCGGGTCGTCGTAGGGCCTACCCCCTCGCCCTGCAGGGGTGTCGTAGGGCCTACCCCCTCGCCCTGCAGGGGTGTCGTGGTTCTCGGTGTACGTGGTCTCGCCGTCGTACTCGCTGTCCGTGGCGTTGCTCTCTGTGTCGTTCTGGCTCGTTGGGTCGCTGTCGTCGAGTCGGCCGTCGGAGTCCTCCCCGTGAGAGTGGTCCTGGGGCCGCTCGAGGTAGCCGCGCAGGTCGAACGAGACCCTGCGTCTCGCTGGCTGCCTCGGGTCGCCGCCTGCTGCTTCTCGCAGGCTGCCTCGCGCCGCCGCTGTACTCGAGGTGGTAGCCGTCGGAGTCCTCCTGGAAGGAGTGGTCCTGGGGCTGGTGGCGGCGTCATCCTCGGTCGCGTGCTGGCCGCGGGCGTCGTCGTGCTTGGACGCGTCGCCCTCGTCGGCCGCGGACCAGTGAGCGCTGGTTGCGACACCAGCGAAAATCGCCTCGATGCGTGCTGGAATGAGGAAGTCGTCGGCGGCCATGGAGACGAAAGCGGCCGCGTTGGGCGCGCAGATGCCTGCTGCCTCTAGTGCCGCGCGGGCCGCGGATCGCCACTGCGCACCCGATCTCGCCGCAGCTCCGATTGCCGCTGCTGCCACGGCAATCTTCCCACGCGTCTGGGTGCCGCCGATGCGCTGATTCGTCAGCTGTAACTTCGTCATGCTGCAGCTGATGGTGTCGGGCTTCGTCTTCGACTCCGAGGGTGGGTCGTCGAGGGGCGTCGTCGAGGGGCATCTTCGATGGACGTCAAGGGTGGTCGAGGGGTGTCGTCGTGGGGAGTCGTCGAGAGACGTAGTCCGTCGAGGGGAGCTGCCGTCTCTTCTAACACCACTGCCCGCGGCCGCCCTGATCGCACCACTGCCGTCTCTTCTCGCACCACTGCCGCCCGTCTCTTCTCGCGCCACAGCCGTCTCTTCACGCACCACTGCCCGCTGCCGGCTCCTCGCACCGCTGCCCGCGGCCGCCCCGATCGCGACGCTGTAGTTGTTCACGTCGGGCTCTTCCTTCGCCTCCCGCTTCTCGCAGACGCTGACCACAGGGATGGAGCTGGAGCGCACAGGGCCTGTCTTAGCCTCTTTCTGTCCACGGTCCCTGACTGCAGCGCTGTAGCTGATCGTGTCTGACTCATGCTTCGCCTCCGCTTTATCACGCGCGCTATGGTAAGAGCCTAGGAGGATGACGGGCTCTATCTTCGCATTCATGGGCTCGCGTGCCCTGGCCGCCTCACTGTAGCTGGTCGTGTCGGACTCTAGCTTCGCATCCGACTTCTCTTTGCCTGTCCTGTAGCCTGGGCTGCCACTGCCTGCCTTCTCCCAAGGGCCGCCACTGCCTGCCTTCTCACATGTGTAAGTTTCTGCAGTTGCAACGCCACCCGCTGTCAGTGCCGTCCCTGCTCGCACAGTGTTGGGCTTCAGCTCGCCCTCTTGCTTCTCGCAGGGTGGCGCACCGCTCAGAGCAAGGATGACGGGCTCTATCTTGGCGTCAACAGGCGCGCATGCCCTGACCGCCTCGCTGTAGCTGGTCGCGTCGGACTCCAGCTTCGCTTCCGACTTCTCTGTGGAGGATGGGACTTCTGAGAGCGGGCCGTGGGCGGTGAGGTGAAGACTGGTTTGTTTCTCGCTTTGCGCGCGCTCTGGTTCTTCCGCTTCATGCGCGCTTTGGTTCTGGCTTGTGACTTCGCCACCATCCTCGCAGCTGTCGCCAGAGCTGCCAGTGCATGTCCTGTGGCTGGGGCTGCCACTGCCTGCATTATCGCATGGGCCGCCACTGCCTGCCTTCTCACACAGATCGGGGACAGCCGCAGGTGGCGGTGAGGAAGTGTTGTTTTGATCCCCGCTTTGCGCGCACTCTGGTTCTGCCTTCGCTTCTCGCGCGCTCTTGTTCTGGGTTGTATATTCACCCACGTCTGGCAGCCAGCGAAGCGCCCAGAAATGAAAAGACTGCTGTTCTTGATGACGAGTGATGCCCTCGCACGAAGAGGGATATAGGATGATGTCTGGAAGCTGCCATTGCCAGCAGAACTCTTGCCCGAATTCAGGAAGCTCGCAGCTTGTGTGGACCACATTATCGATGTCCGAAATGCGAGAGAAAGATTCAATTGGCGTGTATGCGGGTGCCTCGGCCCGCAGCTGAGAAGCGCACGAATCTTTCTGAACAACTGCTGGCTGCTCGCTGCCGAGTTGGATGGCAATATCTTTCCAGTCACGCATACTTACGCGCCTTCCTGTTCTGACCGCGTATCCCACGCGGCGAACCGCCTTCACCAGCGGTCTCGACGATCTCCTCACGAGTCGTCGGTTGCTCCGAGTCTCGTCCATGGTCTTGATGAAAGCGAGAAAGAGGAAACAAGCTAATGCATCAAGACATCCCGGCGCCTGCTGGGATGCGCGCGCCTGGGGCCGGCCCGCACGGCCGCCCGACCCAGTGGCCGCCGAGGGCCGAAGGGGGGGCGGCGCGGATTCGGGCCCCCGATGGGCCTTTCCCTCTCCTCCTCCTCCTCCTCCTCCTCCTCCTCCTCGTCCTCGTCCTCGTCCTTGACCCGAACGGGAGCACAGCGCCGTTCAGGGAGTGTGCCCCTGGAGTGGGGCCAACGCTGCAGCAAGAGCACCATTTTGAAAATACGGACAACCAATTTATCCAACGTTCAGAAAGCAATGCTCGGAGAGGGTGGAGCATCTTCCGGGCAGAGTCAGAGAAGGGAGAGCAGTATTCATGTTGAGTGGTTGTGGAGGGAGGGAAGGGGGAAGGAGAGGAAGAGGGAGGGGGGGAGAACGAGGGAGGAGGAGGAGGTTTGGGAAGAGGGAGGGAGGAGGAGAGGAGAGGAGGGAGAGGGGACGCCTCCTCCTATCAGGCAGTGCCAAGGTGGCATCACCACTCGGCGCCACCTCCTGAGGATCGAGGAGGGCGGGGTATCGAGCACCGGAGAGGCTGATGTAGTGATTTTAAGTTTGGGCTGTCCCTCTACAGGGGGAATATTGAAAATAGTCAAACAATAGTCTGGGTATTTTTTTTACGTATTTGGGGGCATGTTTTTGGAATTTTGTTTTTTCTTGTAAACAAAACATGGTGCAAAATCCCCCTGTAGGGAGACACGCCCGACTTAATAGCAATTCCTGGTGGTTTGGGAAGGTGGAGCCTGGGAGTTCTCACCCCACGCCTCCACGGAGGAAGTGGCGACCCCCCAGGTGCTTACCCTCCCTGGCGCATCGCCTGCTCCAGGGATGGGCGTGGGAGGAAAGCCAGAAGTTTGGGCGCCTCTCGCGGAGGAGTTGGAAGTCGAGGAGGGAGGAGGAATGACTTGTTGGCGGCCCCTCGTCGTCACGGCTGGATTCGCTTCGAGTCATGGCCCGAACGAACCGCAGGAGAAGCTGAGGGTGGCGATATGGAGGGAGTGTGGCTCAAACGTCAAGGCGTCGCGACCAAAAACAAGACAGACGCTATGGCCAGGAACTTCTCTTCAGCGTGTCGCTCCGCCTGTTCTGGCCCACCGCACTTTGGCGCGACACGCTGACCACTTCCCGACCCCCCAGGCGTCGACGCCCGGAGCCTCTTCCAGCCCTCCCACCCGCGCGGAGCGGAGCGACGCGCTATCCGCCTACAGGGCACCAGCGAGCCGCCGGGGCCGCCGCCACGACACGCCGAGCAGAAGTTCCTGACCGCATGTGCTCGTGATCCGTGTCGCACGCCCGGGCCCCATCGGAGGCCAGCGCCATGAAGAGACACAGCATGTGACATCAGAAAGTCGTCCCTCGCTTTCGGTCCGACGAAGTTGGAGCGGACTCGGGCTTCCGGCTCCCCCCGCCAGCGCCTCTCTCCGCACGCAGGCGCGCGCTCTGGGGCGTGTCCGCCGCCGTTCTCGGGGTCGAGGGCGGGGCCGCGCATGAGACTCGTTGCCCGGCCAGTGACAGCGGGGGCCCCCATCGCCTCATCGCCAGCGGTGGCTCGGAGTCCGGGCCCTGTTGTGTCGTAGGTGCCGGGGCCCGTTGTTTATTACACTTGTTTTTAGATCACACCTGTTGTCTATCACACTTGTGGTTTATCACCATGTGTTATCCCACACGTTTTTTATCCCACTGTTGTTTATCACACTCGTTTGTTTGTCACACTTGTTTTTTTTTGTCACGCCAGTCCCGCGTCTGGCCTCCGCTCGCCTGCGCCCTCGTCCCCTCCTCGTCCACCCTGGAGCCCGCAGGGCCTCCATCACCGCGCCCCGGCTTCTCCCCCAGCGCTGCCCGACGGGGAGTGTTGGGAGGCGGGAGGTTATTTGCTGGCTCCTGGATGAGTCTCTGGGGAGCTGCAGGCCGCCACCAGTCGGCCCCAGGTGGCCACGGAGCCCCTCCAGGCATGTCCCCGATGAGGCAAACACATTGCAGACTCAGTGTTCCCCGTGTCCCGAGATGGGGTCGCGGTTATTATTTGGACGTCTCGGGATCTCACCTCCTCTCCTCCTTCCTCCTCCTTTTCCTCGTTCATAATCAATCACACTCTGACCCACGCATGCTCATACGCAGCTTCACTCACATTCAGACTCGCCCACACTCAGACTCACGCACACTCAGATTCACTCACACTATGATACGCTCATCACCCACGCTCAGACTCACTCATACTGAGACTCACTCACACAAACTCAATCACTCTCATGTTTCAGCACAGTCAGATTTTCTCACACACCCAGACCCAATACTCTCAGACTAAGTTAGATTCAGACTCAATGGTGCTGAGACTCATCCATTTTCTGGTTAAAAATCATACTACTTCACATGCAGACTCAATCACACGAATACTCAGTCACGCTCCGACTCACTCGCACTCAAACTCCTTCGTATCCAGACTCATTCATACTAAGGTTCACTGGCTCGCAGACACACTCACCTCAAGGGAGAGCCGCCAGGAGTGCTTGTTCAATTCTTCGCGCCCAGACTGTGGAGATATCACGGGCGGTTCGCTTGTTTCGGTCCCCCTGACTTTTCTCTGTGTTGATGGTCCAGCGCCCACTGCGACATACCAAAGGGGGAGCCGCCAGGTGTGTGTTCAGTTTCATTCTTCGCGCCCACAATTCGAAAATCTCTCAAGCGGTTTGCTTGTTTCGCCCCCCCCAGACTTGTCTTTTTCGATGGTCCAACGCTCATCGCGATACAGCAGGCGTGGCATTTGGGCACCCCAGCGAGGAGCCGCCAGGAGCGTTTCCACGTCACTATTCGCGCCCAGTGTGTGGAGTAAGCTGTTTGCTTGTTTCGGCCACCCAGGTGTTTGTCTTGTGGTGGTCCAGCGCCCACCGCGCAATAGCAGGCGTGGCACGTGCGCACCCCAAAGGAGAGCCGCCAGGGATGTGTGCATGCCATTCTTCGCGCCCCGATGGTGGGCATGTCTCAGGCGGGTGTGGTTGCTTCAGCCCCCAAGACTTGTCTCTTTTAGTGGCTCAGCGCTCACCGCAATGTAGCAGACGCCGCGTACAGACACCCCAAGAAGGACCGCCAGGGGCGTTTTACTTTCATCATCTGCACCCAGGTGGGGGGGGGATGTCTTGAGCGGTGTGCTTGCTTCGGCCCCGACGCGTTTCTCTTCTCGGTGGTCCGATGCCCACCGCGATACAGCAGACGTGGCACCTGGGTGCCCCAAGGGGGGCTGCCAGGTATGCGTACTTCCTCCATTTTTCGCGCCTGGATAGTGGGGATGTCTCCGGTGGTTTGCTCGCCTCGGCTCTCCAAACTTGCCTCCACTGGTGGTTCAGTGATGTCCAATGCTTACCGCGATATAGCAGGCGTGGCACTTGAGCACCCCAAAGGGAGCCGCCAGGGGTGTTTTCATGCCATCCCTCGCGCCCAAGATGTGGGCATCTCTCAAGCGGTTTGCTTGTTTCGCCCCTCCCCCAGACTTGTCTCTTGGGGTGGTCCAAGGCTCACCGCGATATAGCAGGCGTGGCAGTTGGGCATCCCACGGGGGAGCCGCCACGGGTGTTTCTACGTCACGATTCGCAACCAGTTTGCGGGGATGTCTTCAGCGGTTTCCTTGTTTCGCCCCCCAGACTTTCTCCTATGCGGTCCAGTGCTCACCGCAATTGGGCACCCCACAGGAGAGCCGCCACGAGCGTTTTAGTTTGATCCTTCGCGCCCAGAGTGTGTGGATATCTCGAACGGTGACCATCAACTGCGCGCGCCGGGAGCGCCACGGCCAACGCGGCGCTGACGACGACGCACGGTGGCTGAATTTTTTCTTCGCGAGCTGATGGAAAGAGGCCCGCCAGAGGCGATGCAGACAGCCTTCGGCCGCGTCGAAAAAGCCCCGAGAGGTCAACGGTGACGAGAGCCGCCCTGCCTGCCGGGGGGCACGGGGGACGTCTGCCAGAAGGCGGCCCGCGCTGTCTGTGGCCCGCGCTGTCCGTGGCCCTGCCGGAGCCGGTGCCAGAGATCGGCCCGACGATTTGTTGTATGCCCTTGCGCGAGCAGCCCCAAGCTGCCAGCCCGATGCCCAGTGCGGACGGCCATTGTTTTCCAGCTCCCCCCGCGCCCAACCACGCCCAGCCTTACGCCAAGCGCAGACGGTGGCCCGACCGATCGGCCCGATGCCAGGGGCGGGCGGCTGTGTTCTCCTCAAAAGAAAAGCTGTCCCCCGTGGCGTCCAACCCTGATCATGCTTCCACCTTCCTCACCCGAGCCCATTTTACTGATCCTCTTCGCCGCCTTCGTGACTTCATTCTGGGCATTCTCCTCCAGCCTCCAAGTCGCGGCGAAAGGTCTGGGCACATCCTGCAATTGTATCCGTCCGTTTCTTTTTCTGCTGACCATTAATGATGTCGGCGCTGTCGTCCCCGTCGCATCCGTCGTTCATTCGGACTCGCTTTCGCGCTGAAGTATTCGAGTCGCCGGCAACCGCTCTCAGCAAGACGTGCCAAGAAAATGGGATGCACATATCAGGATATCCTCGTCGAGTTCTTGTTCAACGGTTTAATGCTCGTCGCTGTTTCGCGCCCGATGGGGCCATGCGGGCTCAGGATGGTCTCGGAACGGCCCTAGTAAGGCCCCGAAGGGGTCGGGAGAGGCTGCAGACGGCGTCCCCAGAGGCCCCAAGAGAGGCCCAAACCCGCCGAAGTTACGAAAACGCCGAGAAAGACGAGCGTCCCCAGCGATCCGTTGACACCAAGACGGCGCCTGGAAGACTCCAGAGAGGCCCCGACACAGCTCCAAGACGGCCCTATGGAACACCAACAGGGCCCCCTGACGACCTCACGAGAACTTCACAAGAATCCCAAGAGTCCCCTGCAACCGTCAGATCAAATGTGCGTGGTCCGGGCCGACAGGAGGAGGACGCCCCCTCCCGCCCTAGACTGTCTAGCCTAGTCGTCATGCTCATGCGAGTCCCGCTTCGCCTTTTGGATAGCGCGTCGTTCCGCCTGTTCTGGCCCACCATGCTTCGGCGCGACACGCGATCCATTCCCCCAGTCCAAAGCGTCAGCGCCCCGAGCCCTCCCGAGCCTCCCGCCGCGCGGAGCCGAACGACGCGCAGTGCAAGCAGGGGGGGAAGACGAAAACCCAGAACCTTGCATTTGTGTATATTTTTTGGTGTGTCCCTGGGCGCCTTCAGCCTATTCCCACTGCAAGGCACATCCCTGCCGGACACCTTCGCCTCCATGACCGCGGCCGTCCAGGAGCCCGCCCCGAGGGTACCCGGCGTGACCCGAGGCCTGCGTTGCTTGGCGCCGCCGCGCCCGCCAGGCCCCAGGCGCCTGAAAATAATTCGGAGGCGTCGATTTTCAGAGGCTCCTCGCCTCAAGGCTCGAATTTCGAGATGTAGAATTTCGGGCGAATTCGTCGGTTCTCGGCGGGCTTCCAGCCTCGGGATGCCTTCCATCAGCTCCGCCTCGCCGAGAACTTTCCGGGGTTCGGGGATCATCCCGAGAAGCCGCTTGATGCCTGAGTTATGAACCGAAAGCGACCAGGGCTGGACGACGCCAATCGTGGATCAGATGAGGGTGAGTTGAAACAGTGGTAGTTCGCTTTCGGGTGGCCCCCTCGTCGCCAAGGCTGGGCGGAGCTCGGAATGCTGGTGAGTTCGGACCCCGGGAGGGATCCGGGGGCCGATTTTGAGCGGCCGTTGCCTCGATTCGCCCTGCTGCGAGATAGAAGCGAACGGCCCAGGGGGGAGCAATACAGGCATCAAGGGGCGCCGACGCTCCATGTCTTCGGCGAGGCTCCCAGACGAGCATCTTCTTGTGGTGCCCGCCCATGGACTATTCGCCCACCCTCGCCGCCTCCGAGAGATGCTGGGCGTCTGACGTTCGCGAGCTTAGCAGAGATCCCAGAACAGCATCAGCACTGATCTTGTGAGACCCGCGCGGGCTTCCTGAGTCAGCGCCAGAGGCGCCGACGGACGGGGTTCGGCGGCAACCCGAGGGGGGGAGTAAAATGGGGCAGGCCTCCTCAGAAGGCGGCGGGGCTTCGGAAAAGCTTTGGAATGCGGCTTCGGAGAAGATTTCGAAGGCGTCGCAAAACTCTGCCCTCACCCATGGACGCGTCGCCGGCACGAGGTCCGTGCGGACTTCCGACTGCTCACGTGCGTGACCTCGAGTGCCCCGCCCCATCGTCCTCTTCTTCTCCGAGGCGGGAATTTATTGATGACCACCGCTTGGAGGGTCAGTTTTCAGAGCTTCGGCAGGCGGTGGATATGGACAGATTCGGGCCCCCAGGGGCCGAAATATATCCATGTCCACCGCCCGCTGGGGCACCAGGACGTTTGTTCCCAGGCGGTGGATATGGATAAATCCCCGTCTCGCATCTTCTACTCCTGAAGGGAGGGAGAGTCCGATGCCGCTGGATCTTTGGGGAAGAGGGCGAGCGTCCATCCCCGAAGTCACAGCTATCCCCCAGCATACAGTTACATACAGCCCACCAAATAAGTTCTTCTGGGTTTTCGATCGGATCCGCTGAGAGGCTTGTGGGCAAGCGCTCTTGTAGTTGCGCTGGGCCATTGAGGCTGCATGGCTTGTATCGGTTATCATGTTAGGGTTGGGATCCGACGCCAAGTTGCCCCTGTCTCAGGGGTCTTGTCGGTGCATTTGGATTGAGCAAGATGGTCGGCGAGTGCATCATCGAAATATATTGGCGGTCGATCGTCACTGGCGTCACAAGCCGATCTCTAGCGTTCGCGTGCATCATTCGACAAGCGCACGGCACGCGTGGAACAACAGAGACAGCGCAGGAGGAGGAGGAGGAGGAGGAGGAGGAGGAGAAGAACCAGAGTAAGCCCAGGATGCGTTAACGAACACCAGCGATGTTGCAACACACCCTCCCGTTCCCGAACGCAAGTCTCTGCAAGTATTGTCTCACTGCGGTAAGCGCCCCCTTGAAAGACGAGCGGCACCTCGGCTGAGAGCCCCATTCTTAAAAATACGCAAACTCCATCCGCGCAGCTGCTGCACATCCTCGCCAGTCTGGCCGTCCTAGTTGCGGAAGGCCGAAGTGGTAAGCGAATTTCGAACAGCAATTGTCTTCCATATTTGCATAACGGTTTGCGCGTTGTTGGGAAAAGAGCCGCGTTGTGAGTGAAAGGGGGTTGTTTTCTGTATGTATCACTCCTTACGTGCACGCGTAACGAATGTGCATAACGCCACGGCAAGAATCACATTCGAAAACCGCTCGCCTTCCCAATCCATATGACCGTTGGGAACCTCAAGCTTCAACGAGCATCTACCGTCGTGAAAGTTTCAGGCGGAATCTAAGCACCCGTATAGCGGCACGTCAAACAAGACATCGGATGGAGGTTCACAGAAGCCCTGTGGCACCTCAGGAAGTTCAAAGCTCGACGACAGGAGTGCGTTTTGCATTTCTATGTCTTTCCGCATGTTTCTACCGTGCCAGGACCCAGTCAGCAATCCTGGTCGCCAAGGCAAGACTGTCGCCCACGTGGTGGTGTGGTGGACCACGCCAGGCGACTGCATCCTGGAATGAAGGAAGTGCGGCAAGGCTTCGCTCAGGAGCAAGCCAGCGCAGATGTCCCAGACATAGAAGCCAAAAAGACCGACACCCGCCGCTGGGGACACAGTGCCTGTATCACGTTCCCGAAGAAGATGTATGGCGGCACCATGCCTAGCTCCGGCGTGCCCGGCGCCTTCCCTTGGGACGGCAGGCGGGCTGCTCTGGCCCACGCTATTGCCTGGCCCACCCACACCAAGGGCAGGATGAAGGACGAAGGTGGCAGGTCCGACAACCCGAGTGCGCCGTGGGAGTCATTCCTGGGACCTCGAGTGGCCTTGCGCGGCGCCGACCCGTCCAGGTACGACGGGGATGTCCTGATATCTGTCTTGGCAGCCCAAGGCGTTCGCAGCACGAGCGCCCCCTTGCTCCCCTGCTACCGCCGACCCACCGCAGTCGGCGAAGCGGCAGCCACAGGAGCAAGCGGCGGGCGTTGCCGCTGAGGACCTCAGTCGCTCGCTCCATGGAGGCCCAGACGCTGGCCCCCCAGCGGAGCCGACGTAGCGCCTCAGGACCGCTCCCTTGGGTGACCCCGCCGACGGGGAGACTGGTAGCGCTGCTCTGGGACCAGCCAAGGACGAGGCCACTGTCTCCCCCGTCGAGCAGGCAGCCGCAGGACGGCGCAGCACCAGCCCCGATTGGAGCGGCGATGACGGAGGCGGCGATGGGGAGGAGCGGTCGCTACCGCCCCGCCCCGCTAACCTGGAAGGCAGCCCTGGACCAGCCAGAGAGCGCCAGGACGGGCGATGGGCACCGCCTGGGTTGCGTTCCCTCCATCAGGCCAACCGTCACACAGCAGCACACCAGTATCGCGCCTGACGTGCGGGCAGGCCACTACCGAGTTGCCAGGGGCGGCGGTGGCGCGCGCCCAGCGCGTAGGTACGCTTAGGCCGATGAGACGGGAGGGCGACTCTGGCCCGACCTCCCGCCAGGACCTGTGGTAGGGCCAGTGGAGAAGGTGCGGACGGGGCAGCATCTTTGCGCCCGGATCGAGGCTGAGAGGGCCACTGCCTGAGACGGGACGCACTCCGCGCACTTGGCTCGGATCACCCGTTGGGGCTGCTTCGCCAGCAGCCAACGCCCCAGGGGGGGCGACGCGCAGGCTGGCCGCACCGACCTGGGAAGCGACGCGTGGCGCGCGCCCCCCGACGCCTCAGCCTGGCGCGCGCTTCGCCACCAGGCCGCCGAGGGGTCCAGCTGGGACACAGGCGGCGCAGACGGCCCCTTCCAGGACCTCCTGGAACCGCTCGTCCTTTTTAGGCGACACGCTCCGGCCGAGGACGCCCGCGGTTGGGGGAGTGACCACGCGCACCGCCGCCCCGACAGGAACGACCCATACGACAGTTTCTACAAGGTGCCTCGATGCGACACCCGCTGGATGCCGCACTGGGGAGAAACGCGTGGAGACCTGGCTGGAGCCCATCAGCCGCTTCAAGGCACCTGCGGGGCCCTTTCTGTGGAGGGCTGGAACTGGGCCCGTGACGTGAGGGATGGCAAGGGACGGGGCAAGGGACGCTACAACCTGGCGGCCTCGATAAGTTCTGCAGGAAGTTCCTGGAGGACCTGGCCGCCTCCCACTACGACGTACGGGCCTTCTGCTGGTACCGCCGCATGGACTTCGATTGGGACGATGTGTGGCGTCAGCAGTAGGACCGTCAGGCGCAGGCAGGCGGGAGGGAAAGGCCACCAGGGAGGCAAGCGGGCCAGCGGCGCCTCCTGGCCAGCCGGGGGCAGGTCCAGCACGCGGGGGAAATAGCCTCCAAGTCTGCCCCGCCGCCAGTGGCGCCCTCGGCCCGCGACGCGCTCTCGGACCCGCCCCCGCGGACGCCCGGCTCCCAAGCCCGGTATTTGCTGAGCCCTCGGGCCCACTTGGCAGCAACGACACTTTGCACAGGCGCCTACCCCCCCAGGTAGGCCTCCTGCCATGCTACTTGCACGTGCACCGGCCAGGTGCTCCTCCCGAGGACGCGCTGCCCCCCCCGCTGGCGCGCCTTCCTTTCCCCTCTTCCTTTCGGGCTCCTCCATCCCCCCGTGCGGGTTCTCCCCCTCCTTCCCGGCTAGGCTTCAGTCGGGCCTGCCCCTCTACAGGAGGAATTCCCCAAAATAGTTGTTTTATACAAAAAAAGTATGGGGACGATGTTTTGACTATTTTTGAGTATTCGGGGGGTATTGTTTGAGTACTTTTTATCTTTCGCCCCAAATCCCCTTGTAGGAGGACACGCCCGACTTAAGGCTAGGGCGCCCACCCACCCCCAAGTGGGCGCTTTCACGCCCTCGCGCGCTGCGTCCCGAGTGCCCACCCCCCAGGCGGGTGCCCCCACACACGTAGGCGCACTGCTCGGGTGCGACGCTCCAAGACGAAGCGGGCACTCGTCGGCACGCTTGCTGTGCTCCCTGCCAGCGCAGCTCCCTGCTCCGCTGTCTGGGAGGGTCCTGGGTGGGGACTCCTCACCGCCCCTGCTGGCTCCTCTCGGCGCCGCCTCCCATCAGCCGTGCGCCTTGCCAGGACCTCGCGGCCCCCGGCTGTCGAATGCGGGGGGCTACGCTACCTCTCTGGCCGCCGTCTCCTGCCTCGTTGCCCCGGCTGGGCCCCACGCCTGGTTGGCTTCGCGGCGCGGCGGCCCGACGGGCCTCTCTGCTCCGTTGCTCGCACCAGCCAGGAGAACGCGTTCTTCCTCCTTGCCCCGCCACGCCTGCTGCACGGCGCCCCACCTCGCCAGCCTTGTGGCGAGACGTCCTTGCCGCGCCCGGCTGCGATACGTGCGCTGGTTGGGTTCGGTTCTCCTCCCCGCCTCCCCGCGCCTGCCGCCGCCGAGGCGCCCCTGCGGCGGCTTGCGGCACTTCGCTGCCCCTTGGCGGTGTCCAGCGCAGCAGCTCGGGCTCCTGGCAGCCCTCTTAGTCGCCTCATTGGCGCCAGCTCCAGCCACACCCTCTCGCATGCCCAGCTGCCCTGGCCCCTGGCAGCCCTGCTGGGCGCCGCAGTGGCCCCTGCCAGCACCTCGTCGTGCTGCTTCACTTCAGCAACAGGCGCTTGGCAGCTCAGCAGACCCTGGCAGCCAATGCTCTGCAGCCTTCGGCAGCGCAGCCACAGACCTGCAGCCCAGATCTCAGCAGCTCAGCGCGGCTTATTGCAGCATCTTGCTGCCGCGAGCTGGTCATTGGTCCAGACTCTGTGGGCGATTGGGCATTTCCGCGTCCAGTGGGCCATGCCTGCAGCAAAGCCCATCACCCACGGCCTTCTGACGAACATCTGAATGCCGCCCGCCTCCGTGGGCTCGATCGCCGATCCCCCTCCCGTACAGGTACGACTTGGTCCACGCTTTCTGCGCCTGCAGCCTCTGCAGGGTGTGGCCGTGATGCCGCTCCGCGTCCACTGCCAGGCTGCCTCAGCACAGGCTGGCCGCTCCGGTCGAAGGCCTTCGCGCTGTGAGTGCCCTCCCTCCTCCTCCCGCCCTCCGCGGCCGCTATCCGGCCCCGCCCCCCCCCGCTTGCAGCCGGACAGTGTGTGCGTGCCCACGCCCGGCCTGCCGGAGCGCGCGTGCGGACCGGCTCTGCCGCGCTGCGACCGCAGGAGCTCACCGTGCCAGCACGTCGGGTGGTGTGGCGGGGATGGGCTGTCCCAGAGCTGCCCCTGCAGGGAAGGCTGGTCGAGGACAGGAGGCGGGGCCAGGCACAGACTCGCCCACCGGACACGGACAGAAAGCAGCGATGAGGGAAGGGACGAAGGCAGGGCTCGACCTAAACGGTGCTTTGGCGATTCCGTTGGCCGTTTTGTGGTTTTCGTGTCGTTTTACAGCAAAGGCGGAAGGCTGACAACCCGGGGGAGAACGAACACACGGCGAACACGAAAAATATTGCTTTGGTCGAGCCCTGGTGGAAGATGACGCTTCCTCAGGATAGGGGGCCACATGCGAACCCTACCCCTACCCCCCACGAGTTCTGAGGGGGAGGGTGGGGTTCACTTCGTTCGGGAGCTGCCGAGCGGAGTGAACCCCACCCTCCCCCTCAGAACTCGTGGAGGGCAGGGGTAGGGTTCGCATGTGGCCCCCTAGCAGAAGCCTCCTCAGCCGAGACGACGGACGGCGCCAAGGGCAGCGCATCGTCAGCTGGTGTTGCAGCGGCACCGCCAGCGTCGTCAGCATCACGAGCTCCAGTGCAAAACCCTCCGTGAGCGTTCCCGTCGTCGCCAATAGCTGGTATCCTCCGATGGAGACTCAGAACTCGTGGGGGGTATCATGGGTGGAAAAACCACCCCGACCCCGACAGTTCGCGTTTACTGAACAGCCCTGGGCGTTTACGAAACAGCCCTGCCCTGTTCGATTCCTTCCATCGGTGCGTCTACTAAACGGCTTCGCTTGTCGGGGTGCTTCTTCTGGGGGTGGACTTGCTGCTCTCCAGGGTTGGGGTAGGGCTCGCATGTGGCCTCCCAAGCAGGCCACCGCCGACAGCAGCATCCGCAACGTCAGGCTTTCGATATGAAATCGAAGTTAAACTTATGGAAAATAGGGGCCTCGTTCCGTACTTAGGGTTCCTTAGGTCGACGCCTCGACTGTAGGGCTCGCGTGTGGCATCCCAAGGAGGCCACCGCCGACAACAGCATCGGCAACGTCACTGGCAGCAACTCCGTCAACGTGTTCCTGGGGCTCGGCATGCCGTGGTGCATCGGCTCCCTGTATTGGTACTTCACGGACCGCGCGGGTGTTGCGCACCACCCCTGGCGGGCTGAGGAGGAGGAGGAGGAGGAGGAGTAGGAGGAGGAGGAGGAAGGGCCACTCGAGCCCAGACAGTCAACGCGCACAATAAGGACGCGCGCCTTGTCCAGGGTACCCTTGGACCCTTGGTGTCCTTGCCTCTGCGGCCAGTCCTTTGCCGCTTCCACTGGCCAGCCTCTCAGGCCGCCGCCCGGCGTCCTTACCACCCGTCCTCACTATACGTCTTCACTGTGCAACCCAGACGCTGAAATCAGGACCGCCTTGTTCTCAGGAGGGGCGCTGGCTTTCGGGTCGCTCCTCGGATTTGGGTCGGGGACCCCATTCTTGGCCGAGGGTCGCCATGGCCAGAAAAGCCCCTTCGTTCCTGATTGAGCGTTCCTTCTGGTAGCACGGTGATTATAAGCGGCCTTCGTAGGCGACTGGGGACCGATGCTAGTACGGTCAAGACGCTAAGATAAGAACCGCTTTGGGCTCAGGAGGGGCTCCGGTGTTCGGAGCGTTCCTTAGACCTCGGTCGGGAAACCTATCCGTAGCCTAGGCTCAACACGACCAGAAAAGCCCCTTCGCTCCTTCTTCGGCGTTCTCCATGTTAGCACGATGGCTGCATTGTTCGGAGAAGCGTTAGGATGTTCTTGAAGGGGCAGAGGAGAAGAGGATAAGGAACAGAAGGGCATGGATCGGGATCTGGTCTGACCTTTGTAGGCTGCCTGGTCATGTCGTGTCCGGTATGGTCTTGTCCAGTGTGCTTTGGTTTGGTTTGGGCCGATTGGTCTTTCTGGTCTGTCTGGTTTGGTCTGTTTGTCATTGTTTGTCTGATTTTGGTCTATCTGCTCCAGTCTAGATTGTCCGGTCTGGTCTCCCTCGTATTGTCTGATCTGCCTGGTCTGTTCCGTGTGGTCTGTCAGGCCTATATTGTTTGATCTGGAGTGACAGGACCCAGTCTTGTCGGGTGTGGTATGGTCTGGTCTCGTCTCCGCCTGGTCTGTCTGAACCTCCGAGGAAGCCATAGGATCCGGTGTAATCTGAGATATCGCTTCATCTGTCCGCTTGGATCGGCAGAAATGCAGGGTGAATCGACCTCACCAATTTCGCTGAGGTGTTCGATTCAAGCGTCGTGTAAACATGATTTCGAGAACTCCACGCTTTTTCTGTGAAGCCGCTATGGCGTGTTCGAAAAGTTCCCCGATCCGCGTCTATAATTCAGCGATGCGGTAGCGTCGCAGGCTGGAATATGATTTCAAGATTCGCTCGGGACGGGAGGGTCAGCGAAATGTGGTGGGATAAGCAGTTAAGTAGCAGTCTGGAAACGTGACGCGTGGACCAACGATGGAGCATGGAATTCCGCTCTGCTCTTCCTCTGCCTGCCCTCCTCTGGCTCCTCTTCTTTAGCTGGTCTGGAACTCGGGTTAGGTACCGGCTTTTTGTCAAGTGTTGTACTGTGCCGCGGTTCCGTGTTTGTTGTTGTGTGTTGCCCGTTTATATGAATCATCGGTCGGATCATTGGGAAGTGCATTCACAACGCTTTAATACAACCATCCGTTCTCTGCCCTCTTTCCTTTCCTCCTCCTCCTCGTCGTCCTCCTCCTCCTCTTCGCGCGGCTGCCTCTTTCGAGCCAGACTGGGGTGATTCTGGTTGCAGCCGAATGCGGATTCGCTTTTCTGCATCCCCCGCGGCGGGGGGGGGCAAAAAATCGATGGAGCATGGAATGCACGATGAGCTTCCGTATGATCGGTATGTTTGCTATCTGCCAGCGAATTCGAAACAGGGCGTAGACATCCTCGACGACTCTGACCCCTGGGTGGTGCACGGCAAGAAGGCGGCACGGGTTCATTGCTTTTCATCGGGAGGTCGATGTGGTGGAGGAGTGGGAGCAAGGAGAGAGGAGAGAATGGGACCTGTATCGGAGTGCACATGGTTCTACAATTGCAGTCGGTGCGCGACCAACTACAGTCTCACATCGTCTACGACTTTGATTTGGGCCAGATCATTCCCCACACTTGCAATACTCATTTCGCTCAACCGTTCTGTCACCAGTCCAGCCCACTGCTCCCTGGCGTGCGCAGGCAGCGTGAACGCTGCGAGACGGTCCTCTGCATTGTAAATGATCAGCCGACATCGGCCGAGCTTCAAGTATCCCGACCAGCCCGGTGTTCTGTTGGGACCCTCTTGGACCTTGTGCATGGGCCTTTTGGGAGCCTTGGAGAGCGCCTCGGGTCCATCTTGGAGGCCAAGCGGGGGTCCTTCACCTAGCCCCACCCACCCCAAAAGCCATCAAAACCGTGTTTGGGGGCCATTTTGAGGCGTTCTTGGGGCGGTCGTGGGGCAGTCTGAGGGGGCATCTTGGACCCTTCGTTGGGCTCTCTTGGGCCCGTCGAGGGTCCTGATTTAGCCTCAGAAGCCCATCGGACGCGAAAGTGCGAGAAGGCAAAATTCATTGATTGCCTGTAGGTTGTTGAAGGATTTTGGACCCTTGGGGGGAGCCGTGGGTGGCTCCGAGATCAAGCACTTGGAGCCGTCGCGTGGCAACATTGGGAGTTCTGGGAGGTATGTCGAAAGCTGTCTTGAACCATCTTCGGCTATTCTGCGCAACCTCGAGGCCATCTTGGAGCATCGGAGGCCCCCTTTGAGCCATCTTGGGCGAAAAAGGACCCCCTGACACCTCCGTCCCCCGCCCATCCAGAACCCTGGGAGGGGGTAGGGAGAGGGTGAGCCCCTCCCAGAAGGGGAAGTTTTGACGATTTTGGGTCGGTTAAAAATTATGTTCCCGAAATTTAACAATTCGTTAGAGCTATAATATTTTTCCGGTGGACTTTGATCTTATTCCCGCTGGCCATTTTGATCTCAGGTCGATCGGGTGGATATTATTGTGAAAAAGCACTCAGGCGGGATCGGAAAGAGGGGGATTGCGGAAGAAAGACAAAATTCGTTAGCCCATCTACGCCCAGAGGGCTGGTGGGATTTGGTGTAGCCATCACCTTTCATGGGAGATGGTAATAAGGCTGTAATAAGGTTGTTCCTGGCCTCGGTCAGGTCTCTCAGCCAACGTGTGGTCGGACGCGACGTCCTCTGGATGGGAGACAGCAGAGCTTCGTGAATCACTCGCGATTCCACCCCTCTGGAGCAAGTAAGAGCAATCGGGCGAAGCTCTTTCGGTCCGCTGGGCCCGCTGAATGAAGCTAGGGAGGAGAGGGCCTACGGGTGTCGAAGGCCTCCTCTTTGTCTATGCCCAAGAATACCGTGTAGGCTACCGTCGCCGCATCGCTTATCTGCATACATATATTTACATATATATCCATATACATACACATGTCTACGTATACGTGCACACACATATATATATACACATGTATGTGTGTGTGTTTATGTGGTGCCACGTTGGCGGTATGGCCCCCCGCTCCGTCCAGCGCCGGCGGGTCCTCCCTCACCGTGCATCCCTTTGACTGGCGTCAGACATCGGTGCCGGCGTCTCTGCCTGCACGAGCACGGCAGCCGTGGCCTCGATCGGGACGCATTATGAGGCCTCCCGGTGAGCATATTTCCAGGCCTCCTAGATGGGGTTGGGGTAGATGGGGTCGGAGGATCGCGCCGCATCGCCGATGCATCGGCGATGCATCAGCGATGCGGCTCGATGCGGGGCCCAATTTTCTCCACGCCGACGTCACCGATGCATCGCCGACGTCGCCAGTGCATGGCCGATGAATCGCGGATGCATCGGCGATGCATTGCCGATGTATCGGCGATGCGGCGAGATCCTCCGACCCCATCTACTCGGACCCCATCCAGGTAGCCTCTAACACTGATGGTGCGGGGTGGGTCTCGCCACGCTTGGCAGCGCGCACAAGGGAGTGGGGGGTGCGGCAGGTCGCGAGACGGGCGGACGTGGGGGGGGGGTCCTCTGAGAAGGCGAGGGGGGGCTTCTGAGCAGGCTTTTTGAAAGCCTTCAGGCCCTTCTGAGAAGGCCCCCGGCTTCTGAGAAGCAACCGCCGCCTTCCTGGAAGGCTGCCCCGCTCGCGCCACCCTCCTTTTGCGCGCCGCCTGCACGCGCCGCCCCCCGGCTGCAGCCTGCGAAGATACGCCCAAGGGCGCCGACTCGGGCCAGCATCCCGCTGGGAAGCCCCGACAAGCCGCGAGGCCGCGGATGCGGAAGGACGCGCGCGCGTGCGCGTGCCGCACACGCTCTCTCTCTCTCTCTCTCTCTCTCTCTCTCTCTCTCTCTCTCTCTCTCTCTCTTTCTCTCTCACGCACACGCACACACACACACGCACACGCACACGCACACACACACACACACACGCACACACACACATGCACACACACACACACACACGCACTTACACACTTACACACACTCACACACTTACACACTCACACACTTACACACTTACACACTTACATACACACACACTTACACGTTTTAGGCCTCCTGCATGGGGTCGGAGTAGATGGGGTCGGAGGATCGCGCCGCATCGCCGATGCATCGCCGATGCGGCTCGATGTGGAGCCCGATTTGCCTCACGTCGACGTCGCCGATGCATCGCCCGCGTCGACGATGCATCGCCGATGCATCGCCGATGTATCGACGATGCGGCGCGATCCTCCGACCCATCTACTCCGACCCCATCTAGGAGGCCTCTAAACGTCCGCAGACAAGGACGGCAGTACACGACAGCGACGCCGTCGTGTGGGAGGCGAATTGGGCCAACAACCGAGAAGGGCGGCCCATCTGCGGGAGATGGACGACGGGGTACCCACGCCAGCTAGGGGAGAGAAGCAGGCAGGGGAACAACGACAGCGCTGCGGCAAGCGAAAGCGAGGCTCCTGCTCGACGCTTGGAGCGAGGGTGAGGGCGGCTCCCTGGTTGGGAAGCGGACCAAGAAAGAGCTGAGCTTGTCGTCGGAGTAGAGGTCGGGGTCCAGCATGGGCTCCTCACCGTCGCCCGCGAGAGGTCCGCTGTCAATGGCCCAACCCCTCCAGAGATGAGCGGCCTGCGCGGCGTGAAGAGCGTCGTCCGCAAGCACGGCGCAGAGTTGGCGCGCCCGAGGCGCCCCCCTTTCCCCTCCCCCTCCCCCCTCCCCCCTCCCCAAGGATTCAGCGCCGACCAAAGAATCCTCAGAGCGGGCCTCGGGTACGTAATCTGTCTTTGTGCCGCGATCTCTTCCTGTGGAGAGGGAAAGAGGGGAGAAAGGAGAGAGCGCGGAGACAAGGGGGGGGAGTTGTCGGCCCAGAGTCGTCTTCCAAGCTCCGCGGGTCTACCGCGCCCCCCTCTCCAGCCAATCCAGCCCCGTGGAGGACGCGCGGCCGCACGGATGCGTTCCGCACGGGGCATCTGCGCAGAGACCTTCCGTACCCGCAGGGTCGCGGCCCGGGGCCCGGCCCGCGAGGCCTCGGATGCGAACGCGTGCTTCGCCCGCGAGTGCCGACGGCGGCGACGGCACCTTCCCGGGGGGACTCTGCGGAGCAGCCGCGGGCGCCGGGCGGGGCCCCTCCGAGCCCTCGGGCCCTGCCAGAAGAAGCGAGAGCCCATGCTGCCGGCCGGGTCCGGGCTCAGAGGCCCGCAGGCTGCCACGTGGCGCGCCACACATGACGGGCGCAAGGAACAAAACAACGCATTGGGATGCTCGTGGGCCTCCTGGCTGGGCAGTTGGTTGTGCTCAGGGTTTGCCAGCGTGGTACGAGGGTCAGAAGCAGCCCTGGCTCTGAAGGGGCACCCTCAGATTCTTTGCGCCCAGGCTTTCCTATCTGGAGTGCTCTCCGTTCTGGGGGAGGCTTCGTGGGGCCGTGGGCCTTCGGCCAGGGGCTCGTGCTCTTGACGCGCATTCCTGCGGCCATGTTTCGGCTGTATTTCTGTTCACCCGCGCCCCGCCTGGCGCGGGACAGGTTGGCTGGTGGGATGAGCTGCCCGAGATCAAGGAGGAGTGGCCGGCCACCTTCGTCGTTCCCGCCGAGTCGCTCGGCATGAGTGTGACGATCTTCACCGTGTGCGCGCTGATATGCCTCGCCCTGCTGGTTGCTCGAAGATGTCTCCTAGGCTCGGGGAGGTTCGGAGGAGGCAAGAGGGGTGGACAGCCTGGGGCGGGCATGTCACGCACGCATTCGCCCTGGAGTTTCTTGGAAGACATGGGCCATCGGAACCCCATAACAGTTACATACAAGTGTCCCTCTGGGTCATCCACCCCTGTTGTGCTCGCCGTGTGGAGGGAGGAGGGACAGGGTGTGGCGAGCACTCGCTTCGGTCGGGACAGGTCGGGCAGATTTGACGTGGCTTCCGTCGGGGAATAACGGAGACGCCTCCCCTGGCAAGTCACCGCCGTTACTTGCCTTCTTGTGAGCGCTTGTCTTGCCACAAGCGTTTAAACTACCCAGAGTCCTATCACACCCATCCCACACGTGTGGTACGGCTGTGGTAGTGTCGAAGGACATACAATACGGCCGTAAAGCTACAACGGAAGCCGTTGCGCTGCACACGTCAGGGGATCTATAAAAATATAGATAGATAGCAGTATCTGGACACCATGGGCACTCGGATAACGAATTAGAGAAGGAAGAGGATGAAGCAAGGGAGGAAGAGGAACGGAAAGGAGGGAGTCAACGAGTTTCTTGACACGCGAGTCGGTGGGGGAAGGGGTTTGGGGGGAAACGAGGAGATGGAGAGGAGGGAAGGGGAGGAGGACGGGGAGTGGGCTTGTCCACCGCTGCACGCCTAGCAGCACCGAGGGAAGGCGCGGGTCCCAGCTGGACCCCCGCGGGACCGCCCACTCTGTTGCCATCCCCCCCCCGCCCGCTGCCCTCAAGGGCGAAGCAAGGTGCCGCAGGCGTGCGCTTGGCAGCACCTACGTAGGTCAGCACCGACCAAACCAACCCAACCCAACCCGAAGGCCTCAATTTGC